GTAAAGATTGGGAGTGTGTCGACGAGGGTCGCGTACCTGATACTCAGAATCACCAAACAGTATTCGCTGAAGGTCATACAGGTCTACGCACCAACCTCGGCACATCCCGATGAGAAGGTGGAGGAAATGTATGAGGATATTTCTAGAGCCATGCATTCCTCCAAAAGCCACTATACGGTGTTGATGGGAGACTTCAACGCAAAACTAGGCACAAGAGAAGGCGGTGAGCTGAAGTTGGGGAAATTTGGAGTAGGGCAACAGAACCGTAGGGGCCAGCAGCTGGCTGACTTTATGGAGAAAGAGGGACTCTTTATGGTGCACTCTTTCTTCCAGAAGCGGCCCCACAGGAAGTGGACCTGGTCGAGCCCTGACGGTTCGACAAAAAATGAGATTGACTTCATTATGACGACCAGACGCCAACTGTTCAGTGATGTCTCAGTGATCGCAAGGGTGAAAACCGGCAGCGATTACCGAATGGTTAGAGGCACACTGAACCTAAACGTTAAGTTGGAGAGGTCTCGTCTAATAAAGTCAACGCTCCGTCCCCCTCGTGCTCTAATCCAGAATTCCGAGACTTTTCAGCTCGAGTTACGTAACCGCTTCCAGTGCCTAGAAGATTGCAATGCAGTGGACGATATGAATGACAAGCTCGTGGAAACTGTCCATGCGGTCGGAGCTAAGTTCTGCAAGACACGCCGCAGAAGAACACAAAAACTCTCCGATCACACTCTCAATTTCATGGTTGTTAGACGGGAGATGAGGCTGCAATCGTCAACAGATTTGACAGCATACAGGCAACTGAACAGACAGATCTCCTATTCCGATGATATCCCGGACGTCAGTCTGAGCGAGATTAGAATGGCTCTCCAGCACCTTAAAAACGGCAGGGCCCCAGGCGAGGATGGAATTACAGCGGAGCTTCTGAAAGCGGGTGGAACACCGGTACTTGAAGTCCTTCAGAAGCTCTTCAATTCCGTTCTCCATGGTGGCACTACTCCGGAGGCGTGGAGCAGAAGTGCGGTGGTCTTGTTCTTTAAGAAAGGCGACAACGCTCTCTTGAAGAACTACAGACCGATCTCCCTTCTGAGCCGCGTCTACGTGCTGTTTTCGAGAGTCATTACGAATCGTCTCGCACGCAGACTCGACGACTTCCAGCCTCCCGAACAAGCGGGTTTCCGAAAAGACTTCAGTACCACAGACCACATACATACCCTGCGGCAAATTGTACAGAAGACCGAAGAGTACAGTCTGCCACTTTGCCTGGCGTATGTGGACTATGAGAAAGCCTTTGATTCCGTCGAAATTTGGGCGGTGCTACAGTCCCTTCAGCGATGTTAAGTTGACTATCGGTATATCGAAGTGCTGAAGTGTTTGTCAGTAGGGCTACGATGGCTATCCGACTATAGAACCAGAGTTCGAAACCTATCCAACTGCAGAGAGGTGTAAGACAGGGTGACGTTATATCCCCGAAACTCTTCACCGCTGCGTTAGAAGACGTTTTCAAGCTACTGGACTGGAAAGAATACGGTATAAACATCAATGGCGAGTACATCACTCACCTTCGATTTGCCGACGATATAGTCCTTATGGCAGAATCGCTGGAGGACCTTAGCACTATGCTCAATGACCTCAATGGTGTCTCCCAACGGATAGGTCTTAAGATGAACATGGACAAAACAAAGATCATGTTTAATGTCCATGTCACACCTATGCCGGTAGTTGTTGGGAGCACTATGCTCGAAGTTGTTGACGAGTACGTTTACCTGGGACAAATAGTCCGACTAGGTAAGTCCAACTTCGACCGAGAGGTCAATCGACGGATTCAACTCGGCTGGGCAGCGTTCGGGAAATTACGACATATCTTCTCGTCAGGTATACCTCAATCTCTGAAAACTAAAGTGTACAACCAGTGTGTGTTGCCCGTGATGACTTACGGATCAGAGACTTGGTCCTTCACTGCTGGTCGTATGAGGACGCTCAAGGTCGCTCAGCGAGCTATGGAGAGGGCTATGCTCGGAGTTTCTCTGCGTGATAGACTCAGAAATGAGGATATCCGCAGTAAAACCACAGTGACAGACATAGCCCAACGGATTAGTAAGCTGAAGTGGCAATGGGCCGGCCATATAGCTCGAAGAACCGATAACCCATGGGGAAGAAAGGTTCTCGAGTGGCAGCCTTGTACCGGTAGGCGTAGTGTAGGGCGACCCACCACTAGATGGAGTGACGACCTGGTAAGACATGCAGGAAGTCGGTGGATGCAGGTGGCTCAGGACCGTGCTTTGTGGTATTACTTGGGGTAGGCCTATGTTCAGCAGTGGACTTGAAGGGCTGCAATGATGATGATGATGAATGATGCTTATTGAGTGGACTGATACTTATCAACAAAGTTTCATGATGTGTCAAACACTTCACGAAAAATTTATTAACTTACTGACTTAATTAAGACTAATTATTAAGTCGACTATATAAGTATAACTAGTGACAATGTCGACAAGCGACGGTGACATTGTCGTCACTATTGCCGGCGACAAACACGAACAGACGGATGGTGTGCTCTGTATAATCCTCTCTGAAGTAACAAATTCCTTAGAACTTTACTTAATTTTTATACATATAACTAATAATGTCAGTCTGTAATATCGTAATAGCGGTTTTTTGACCTATATACGTAGTAGAGCCATGCTGCTGTTATATTAGTAGTATAGTTGTAGCACGAATGGGTCGCCTTGATCAGCGTAGGATCACGCTCTCACAGAATACCAGCGTAAACAGTAGCTTAATGCTGCTGTGTTTCGTATGGTGAGTGTAGAGAACCGGAGACCCTTTTTACTGCAAACGAGGCATTCCATCTTAGTCCTCACGGGTGACAATGCATCTTCATTTTCATTTGTAAGAGAGGATAGATATAAATGTCTATGGGCCACAGCAACCATTTACCATCAGGTGGACTGTGTGCGTTTGTCACCCTATCTTATAAAGAAAATATTTGTAACAATTTTTAATTTTTGTATATTCTGTCTCTTTATCTGTCGGCCCGGGCTAATCTTCGGTATCTTAGTAGCATGTAAATAATCCTACGAGCTTAATTTTTTCATTCCTTCATTACAGTCCTTCAAAAGTCACTAGGCATGTCGTTCTGAGATCGATAATTCGAAGAATCGATTTCTTGTGCCAAAAAGAACGATGTTTTTATCGATATAATATAGTTCTGAATCGATCAAGTGAACCGATATTTCACCCTAGAAAATCGAGATCGAATGTTTTTCTGTTTTCATAAGAACTATAAAATTATTTACAATTAGTTGAATGTACCCAAATTCTTAAAGAACGACAATTTTTCTATTCAAAAAGTAGCAGTTTTGCTACTTTTTGAATAGAATAGAAAGCTGCGTGCTCAGTTTCTTTCGCTTCTTCTTAATGGATTAAAGAAATAAAAAATAAGTTACGTTTATAATATGTATTTTATACGAACCTGAAAGTAAATCGAAAAAAGATTTTGAGAAATTGATCTTTTATACCTTGATTTTATTTTGAATTGATTCATCAGATTTCGATTCGAATCGATCCGAAAGAATCGAGATCCCTCACGGATACCTCAATTTCATTTATATGTCTTCTTAAATGGTTATTTCAAATCTAAATAACGCAATAATATTGCTACACTGTCACACTGTGCATGTACATGTCGAACCACATCCCAAATTCGACCGCACTCGTGAATTGCAAGAACTATAATAGATCCTATCCAGGTGAAACAGGGGCGATTCGCTAGTTGTTAACAATTTATTACAGTAGGGAAGAAAGGTTCTGGAATGACAGCCTCGTCAAGCGCAGTGGTGAGCGACGAACTGATGATACATGCAAGTAGTCAATGGATGTAGGTGACTCAGGACCGTACTTTGTGGCAATCTTTGGGGGAGGTCTATGGTCGGCGGTTGATTGGTGTTGGGCTGTGGTTTCTTTTAATAGAATAAGGGTGACAAACGAGTCCACCTGTTGGGTAGTGGATGCTATAGCTCATAGACTCAATCGGAGATATATGTAGATGGACCATAGACATCTACATATTATATCCTCGATTAAGAATCACAATGCAAGTGCGTAGTCATCCCTAAGAATTGAGATGGAATGCCTAGTTCCCAGCGAACGACCTTGAGCGTTTTGGTCCCATACATTCCACGCGCTCTCGCTACAATAAATCGCGTAAGAAATAAGCTCAAATTATAAAATATTTTCTTTATAAAATCTAATTTTAGTCCTAGATCAAAATGTTCATTAATAAATTGCCTATCAATCAGTGTCAATCGCAAAATAAAATAAATCTTACTTTATGAGGAGATGCATGTTATCAATAATTAATTATTTCGCATTTCTGTGGTTCAGTTGTAGGAAGATTCATCAAGTATTTACTGCTTTTAATAAAAATGGAATTGGCTATTATGGAATCAAGTTTATGTAGATATTTAATAGGTTATTTTATCAATTTTTTATTAATCACAAGTAGATAGCTCCTAAAAACCTCACAAATCACGACTAGCTCAGCATTTTGCTCAAACACGCCCCTTAAGCCGGTATTGTACGTTGGTATTCTGTGAGAGTGTGATCTTACCTCGATCGAGCCGACCCACTCATAGTACAATCATAATTAAGCTACGCTGTAGCGTGGCTTTACCAAGTTAAAATTTGCCAGAATCATATTATCACTTCTCTAATCTGTTAATGATCGTATAATTTACGAGTACTACACTATACTCTGTGATAGTGATTACCTAATAAAGAAAGTCACTCTCCTGTCCCCACAACAGAGAGCAGTCAACAGTGAAATTTCACGTACTGGAAAGAACCAAAGTACCTAAATCATTTTCTCGGAGTTTGCTGCAAAAACAATAAAAAAGACGTACTTATCTTCTCTCTTATCTTTCAGGTGGATCTTTTTCCGGGAACTTACATTCCGGAACTCCGGACAAACTTACCGAGGCGTGCCTGTCATGGCGAGCAACATGGACACAGTCGGAACGTTTGAAATGGCCAGAGAACTTTCTAAGGTAAGGAATTAAGTATTTTATCATTAAAATATAATTTGATAGTTTGTAACAGCGTCATGGCGGTGTGAGAATATCTAGTACCCCATAAAGTACCGTCAGAAGCGACAGGGGGAAACAAACGAGGTGATGGGCAGCTGCGTCTTCCTTATAACTACTAAAAAAATAAACTACGGTTTGAAACCTGTACTGCTAAGCGTGTTAACTATGGAAATCCATGGGGGAGACCTGTGTTCAGCCGTAGACTTTTGACAGGCTGTAATGATGATGATGAAGTACCTAGACCCTTTATATAATAACGAGATAGCAGCGATATCTTAGACAATAGTAAATGATGAAGATATTAATTACTTTGCAACCATCCGCTCAATAAAATGATGTGTCTTACCTAGTTTGAAGAGCACCTCCCGCCCTCTCTCAATTCCCGCTACGGACTTAGCAGTCAGCTGCCGTAGAGTCTACATCACATGAAGATGCCTCGTGTAAAGGTGAAACACGTGTCGTATTATCGTCGATGGTGTGTCTTCCCTAGAATAGTGGTGCTGGTAGTTGTGGTGCTGGGATTAGTGGTGACGGGATTAGTGCACGGAATTCAGAGAGGGCGGGAGATGCTCTTCAAACTAGGTAAGACACATCATTTAATTGAGCGGATAGTTGCAAAGTAACTATTAATATCTTTATTACAATGGATTTCCATAAAGTAACGCCTGATTTTATCAATTAATAGTAAATGAGCTGACAGTACAGAAACAAACCGGTAAGATTTTTTGAGCATTAGTTATCTACCATTGATTTACTTTGATCGATTATCGTTTAGATTCAAGATAAAGATTTATCTTCTTATACTTGCGTAATGTTTATTGTTTATTATGGGATCGTTCTAGAATATACGAACACTTGGCGAACGGTTTTACTCGCGTCAGCAGCACTTGTTTCGAGAACCTTCCATAACAGTTCTCGACGCAAGTGGATCGATCTTCATTTAATAACGAGCGCATTGCTCCACATCGAACTTATTCAATGAGGAAGAATTGAACATTAAGGTGAAATGGGCGCCAAAAGCAGATTTTTTCACGCTTTATAGGTGCGCAGAAAATCATTTGTTTGTCATTAAAAACTAGGAAATCACCTTTTTTATATCATTGTGAAACTTAATGATTTTCCTTAGTAAATTATGATGACCAAAACACGACTGACACATTTTGACCCGATACAAAAAGATCGCAAACTTTCCTCAAAATCTAAAATTTTAAGTACGTCCATTATTGGAAAAAGCAGTTTCATTCAAATGTAATTAAAGCAATTTGTATTGAATTATGTTTATGTATTTATCAGTAAATACATAGGGGAATTATGGGATTATTTTTCAATTTAAGAGTTTAATTTCATTTTAAAAAGAAATATCAAATAAATATCGTTCAATAAAATTGCGTTTGGGCCGTTGAGGTACTACGTTAGTAATATAGTTCGATGGTGTGGGCCGGCCAAACGAGCATATCACCGCTTCGTACTCGTAACCTCGATACTATTTCGCCTTAGGCACACCACATACATACGGAATTCCGTTTCGGAATTACGATTCGGGATTCCGAACTCAGCAAGTTCATATAAAATCAATAACATGCCATACACGTACGGTATTTTCCGTACGGAATTTCACCGATTCGAGATTCCGCATGACCGCTCGTGCGTTCGGAATCCCGAACGGAAAAAAGACACTCTGATACTCCAAACTCCGAACTCCACGCCGAAGTGTTCCATAGATTTTGTACTAGTCGCAACACACATTCGTAAATTCCGTACGGAATGCACCCAGTGTAGGTCGCACAACCGGAGCGAATGAATGGGTGATCTAGTACATGAAGGATTATATTTTTCATCATGAAGAATACTTGTTGTGTCCCGCATATTGAAAGCAAGCGTATTAATTTCATGTTATATACGTGGTTTTCCAAAGACTGATATAGGACTCTAATGGGAGAAAAATATAGCAGCTCAGTTCAAAAGAACTGCAGGTTCTTTGTCAGTTAGTTCATTGTCACACAATGTCATTTAATTGAAAAGTTAGTTTTAAATAAAAGTTTATCAGTTTCTAGAGTATTATATTAATATACAAAACAATGCCTCAGTGGTTTGGTATATATTTTTAATCTAATTAATATAAAATATAACTAATAGTACAAAAACAAACATTATCCTTGACATTTTTTAAATATTACACTTAATTTTTAAATGGCGCCGCCCTAAAGACAGAAAAAGACGTGGGTCGTCATTTCTATAATAAGACTTAAGCACCATAGACTTTACGCCAACATGATTCTTCCACCCATGTTACTGTTCCCTCTAGCTGATCATTGAGCAATGATGTACGAAATGAAATAATTTCTCGAAAAAGTTTATAGAATCCGATAGTAATTTAAAAAAAATCTGTATTGGCTCGTAATTTGGCTCTTTTACATAATACTGGCTATCTTGTAACCTTAGGGTGTTAAGGGGATGCACCCAGTAACGGTGGCAATATGTTTTCTCATTACCTAGCTAGATACAGCAACAATGCAAGCGCAATATCGTAGTCCATATTCGCTGGCTAAATATCTGTCCTCAATGGCTGGCATCACTCAACTGTGCCTTGTCATTCTGTACGGAGAAAAACGTAAGTGTGTGGTGTACGTACGGAATCCTGAATCGGAATTCCGAAACTTAACATCGAAACGGTATTCCGTATGCATGTGACCGGCCTAAATACGTTTCGGGGTTACGAACGCAGCAATTCCATGTAAAATCCCGTCACACACTTACGCTAGTTTTCCGTACGGAATTTTGTGGGCAAAACGGCCGGTCACATGCATACGGAATTCCGTTTCGATATTCCATTTCGGAATTCCGAAACGGAACGAACGGATCTGCCACCCAAAGACGGAATCCCGTATTGTCCGCAAAACTGCTCATTGATTTAAAATGGATTTGCTACGTTCGGAATCCCGAATCGGAATTCAGAAACGGAATCTCGAAACGGAATTCCGTATGTATGTAGCGGGCCTTAAACATAATACTTGTTATATTAATTGGTGGTATATTAAGTTACCTGGGACAAATAGTCCGACTAGGTAAGTCCATCTTCGAACGAGAGGTCAATCGACGGATTCAACTCGGCTGGGCAGCGTTCGGGAAATTACGACACATCTTCTCGTCAGGTATACCTCAATCTCTGAAAACTAAAGTGTACAACCAGTGCGTGTTGCCAGTGATGACTTACGGATCTGAGACGTGGTCCTTCATCGCTGGCCGTATGAGGACGCTCAAGGTCGCTCAGCGAGCTATGGAGAGGGCTATGCTCGGAGTTTCACTGCGTGATAGACTCATAAATGAGGATATCCGCAGTAAAACCAGAGTGACCGACATAGCCCAACGGATTAGTAAGCTGAAGTGGCAATGGGCCGGCCATATAGCTCGAAGAACCGATAACCGATGGGGAAGAAAGGTTCTCGAGTGGCAGCCTCGTACCGGTAGGCGTAGTGTAGGGCGACCCCCCACTAGATGGAGTGACGACCTGGTAAGACATGCAGGAAGTCGATGGATGCAGGTGGCTCAGGACCGTGCTTTGTGGCATTACTTGGGGGAGGCCTATGTTCAGCAGTGGACTTGTGAAGGGCTGTAATGATGATGATGATGATGATGATGATGATATTAAGTTATACTAGGTGATATGGCACTTCTACCTAGGAGTTTGGTAGGTGCCATTCTCTTAACTATTTCTGCTACCAAGTAGCAGTGCCGGCAGTCTGTTATGATGTGAATGAATGGAATGGAATTCAGTCTTAGTCCTCAGAGGTCAACTCATCAGAAGCCTTCTTTGTTTGACATTGCTGGACTATCCACAGACTGCAGTAGCCAATTACCATCAAGTAAATTCGTTTGTGACTTCAGTTTTATTAAAAAAAATATCTAGTGTACTTCCCGTGAACTTTGTAAGAAGCAACCTACCTTTTTGCGCATTCTAGTAAAAGCTCTAACTGGACACTGTTGTTGTCTTAAAAAGCACATGTCCATCCTGATAATGAGCAACTCAAGGATGTGCCGGTTCCGTTCCCTAACGGAAAAACGCTCCTGTACATCCTAACCGATTGCGGACCCTGAATGCGCTAAAGTAACACTCATCTGGGAAACTATCTACTCCACCCAGAAGAAGTGAATTTGCTCGCGGCTAAGCAACTCCTTCTATTCTCTGAAGACGTAGGGCTTAACAGTGAACTATAGCCATAGCAGCGATCACAATAGGTCTTTTAGGTCGCAGTTATACTGGTCTCTTTCTCTAGACCTGTACAGCTGCTGGTACATAATAAAAAAAACCTATCCAATAGACCATGTCTTTCGGTTCATAGAGATATCTTGTTCACACAGGATGTGAACTGTCCAGGCCAGCGACGGGGAGTTGCGTCAAAGTCAGCTATAGATTGCGCCAGACTTATCTAACTCTCCGTTACAGCATGTGCAGTCCAATGCTGAACATAGGCCTCCCCACATATAACATCACAGGAGGGATATTTTACAATATGAGATGGCTAAGTAATCGCATTTTTTTACTTTAAGTTAATATTAGCAAATCTCTGCTGCCCATTTTCTTACTTGTGATGATATGAGGTAGAAGATATAGAGTAGTGGATATACTTACACGGCCACTACACATTCAGCATGCATTGCCATCTCTCGGAAGCCATGAAATCTTTTTTGGCAATGTTTATAATACGAAATTTCATTTTGCATACGTGGGTAGAGCCACGCTGTAGCTATATTATGGTTGTAGCAAGAAAGGGTCGGCTCAACCGGGCGGCAAATATTGCTTTGTTTCGTATGGTGAGTGTAGAGATTTGGAGAAACTTTTTTTACTGGAAACGAGGCATTCGATCTAAATTCTCAGGGGTGACAACGCATCTGCGTTTTGATTCTAAATCGCCAATAGCATCCACTTACCAACAGGTAAGCGTTTAGTATTTAAAATAAGG